CCCCTGAGCCCCTCAGCTCCACCCACACCACAGACCATCCATGTGCAGAATGAACTGTTATGTGCACCCGTATGAAGGTGATGTGTCGCACGTCCCCTCCTGTAGCACGTCCCCTCCGTGTCGCACACCCCGTGTCACACATTCCCTCCTGTCGCACGTCCCCTCTGTGTCGCACACCCCCGCATCGCACGTCCCCTCCGTGTCTCATGTCCCCTCTATGTTGCACGTCCCTCTGTGTTACACGTCTCCTCCTGTCGCACGTCCCCTCCATGTCGCACGCCACTCTATGTTGCACGTCCCCTCTGTGTTTCACGTCCCCTCCTGTGCACGTCCCCTCCACGTCGCACGTCCCCTCCGTGTCTCATGTCCCCTCTGTTGCACCTCCCCTCCGTGTTGCACTCCCCCATGTCGCACGTCTCCTCTGTGTCTCATGTCCCTCCATGTCATATGTCCCCTCTGTGTCACACATCCCCTCCTGTCTCATGTCCCCCGTGTCACACATTCCCTCCTGTCGCACGTCCCCTCCACAATGGTGCACGTAACAAAGTTCACTTCGCTCAGGGGTGGGAAAACTCAGCAGGCCCCTGGCCCTGTGTGGGGTCTCTTGGGTAAATGTGCAGGCAGAGCTGGCGACGGGGTTTGTGTCAGGGACTGGTTCTCGGGTGAGTGTGTCTGGGGGGGGGTGCCCTGTTACGTTCCCTGCTGCGCCTCTCCTGGATTGGTGACTTCTGGGTACCCATCACTCCGGTTTGGGGGCAGGGCGGGGGCAGGTTCTGCTTTCAGCTCTCCCAGGTCAATCCAGAGTCACTCCTGTTCGCAGTGGGGGAAGGACGGGGTCTGCTTTCAGTTTCCCCTGTGCGGGGTGTGATGAAGTGGGCATTGTACTCGCCTTGCTATGCTGCTTCTGAGTTCTACCTGCCCACAGCAACTCCATGCGCATGCCTCAGTTTCCCTGGGCATTGCCCCAGTCCCTAGAAGGGGGATGCTACCTCGGCCCCAGCTGGCTGGTACCGGTACCCTGAGCCCAGGAGGTGGTGGGCGGGTGACACCTTTTGCCTGGGAAGGAGAACAAAGGGTACAGGAGGGATTGGAAGCTAGGCTGCTGGGGGGAGGGGGTGTCAGTCTTCTGTGGTTTGGGGTGCAGGGGAGGCAGGGGGGGGGCCGGGCGCCCCCCGAGAACAAAGGGTACAGGAGGGATTGGAAGCTAGGCTGCTGGGGGGAGGGGGTGTCAATCTTCTGTGGTTTGGGGTGCAGGGGAGGCAGGAGGGGGCCAGGCTCC